ATATTATTTGTTTTATTTTTTTTAACATTTATTTAGGTATAATGTATAAAAATTATACTGTATGTAAAATTATATACATCTCAGAAATTATATAACACATTTGAATACTCACTAGTTTCCCCTGTCTCGTATTCACTGTCTCGGAGCAGCTCAAAGATGTCCACCTCCAGCTTCCCTGTGGTGGAGCGGTTGCTGGAACGGTTGATGCTGTCTTTCGCCAGAGTGATGGCCAGTCGCTCCCCGCGGCTACACTCCATCGGGTCATCAAGAATGGCAGCTGGGACACAGTTCAAAAAGACAGAGAAAGACCCAGAAAGTGAGACAAGATATTTCGACAAACACAACAAGAGATTAAGAAGTCCTCAAGATACTGCAGAAATCATTCAAAACAGTGAAGAATGTAGACACAAGTGTTTCTGGGTCGTCTTTGTTCGCATATTAAAGCACATTCGTTCACAGTAGACAAGATTAATGCTGTTCTTTGACAGTTTTCTTGGTAGACTGACACAAGTGTTCCATGTAGTGTTTTGCTATGAATGACTCTGTCACAATGTTGTGTAGTAAATAAACAATATCCTTGCACTATGTTAACAGTCACTGGCTGCTTAGTGCTGCTTAGTGCTGTACGTACTGTATGCCCACTTTTGTGAACCCATATCATTTTCAATCCGCTTTGAATATGTCTAGTCCATGGTGAGTTGACACAAGGCTTAGCAACAATATATGTCACAGCCAGTATCTGACGCTCAGGGATATTAAAATCTATGTAAAGCAAATAACATTTACATTTTTATCACTGTAATATTTGACGTGAGAAAAGCCTAAGGATGTCTGACATCGATTCAATAGCAAAAGTCACAATTTTTAAACAAAACTGCAGATGGAAAGCTTTATGCAAGCCCCTGCCATCACATCAAAACAACTATAGGTGAGCGTCTGTCACTTTTGATGAATGTCAATCTATCTTCAAACTATCATTGTGATATTTCTGTTACCTGTCATGTTGGCATATTGAAATGGTTTATTTTTCCACCGTTCTTCAAGCCAACACATAATTAGCTCTCCAGTGACCCTGAATTTGTGGCATGACTCACATGCGTTGCCCTGAATGTGCTTTATTTACACTGTAGCACTGAAACTGTGCACGATTATAAAGATTTTTTAATGCCAGTTGTCAAACCCTGACAAGAACAGTATGCTAGAAGAGTTCATGCTTGTGTTCATAAATATTGCATTGGAAGTAAGCAAAACCCTTCTAATCTTGGACTGTACAATCATCATAAAAAAAAATTTAAATAAAAAAAAATTACATAATGCATAAATGGAACTGCAGTGATTTAGAACATTTTAATGATTTAATTCAAACAAGACTGAATCAGCCATGAGAGTCCTCCTATTAAAAAAATGGCAATATAAATAACAATCCACTTAAGACTGCCATAAATATCGAGATTGTTTAGAGATGTTAAATGGAGATCCGCGGTATGTTGTAAATGAGATTAAATGTATTCGCTTGAGGCAGAGCAGTGAAGGCAGTTAAGCCACACATTTTTTGCAATTTTAATGTGCTTTTGGGTAAAAAGCAATTAAATTATTATATACACGAGTCCAATTTGAGCTAATGTGTTCTGTGAGGAAAAAAACATAGATTCTTGCCTTTCAAACAGACTCACGGGGGATATTTAACAAAAAATGTATTATCAATTCATGTGCTGTCACATTTGGGGCAAAGCCACATTCATTACAGAAGTTTTCCCATCAGTAATACCTGTCATAGTGTATGTTCACAGGAAATGCATTGCTAAAGCATATATTTATTCACATTAAAACAGTCATCCTCAACAAAAAAAGAAAAAGATTACAGGAAAATATGGTAATTCTGTACTGGCCGCCCATACAGAAGACTCAGTCTGTCTCCAACGGCAAGCTAAATCATCTTCTCACACCCCCTCCTCTCTGTCATAGCCGATAGCAAAAGGCTGTTCCCACAACATAAGTGGAGAAAGCTCGAACTGGGCAATTCTCCCAGTGTTCACCCCCAAATCTCGCAACAAAGAGCGCCAAATGGAAACACTGGCCCCGCGCTGAGCCCTGAGGTTCTGTTCTTGTCCCCAATCCGCGGTCGCAAATGTAGATGTCAAAGCAAGAAACTGGAATTGCCAGTGCTAAATGGAATCCTAGCGCAGGGTAAAAATATCAGAGGGGGAGATCTGTTGCGGGGCAATGACATTTTAAAGGCATTGTGGTATGAGACTCTGAGCAGTGTGGAGGTCCACTGCAGACGAGGTTCTATTCAATCTTCCAGCCTTGGCTCAGCTGCTGACCCTTTTAGAGGAATCGATGGTGAGCAGCAGCGCATGCCGGGGCATGAAACGCATTGTAATTACCCAATGATATAACTGCGAAATAAAGTATTGAAATATATATTTTCCTCCCATCTCGTATTTATTCCCTTTAGGGGTTCCGTATACACGTCATTTTCTTTCCGAACACATTATTGGGATGTGGCGGTTTGCGGGGGGTATGGGGGGATCACGATGCCGGCTCAACATCGTGATGTCTATCACCCATCGCCGATGGATTATTCTGAATAATGTTTGGGTCCAAACAGCATAGGATTCCATTGACTTTCATTGTATGGACAAAAAGTTATTTTCTTCATTTTCAAAATATCTTTTTTTGTGTTCCACAGAAGAAAGAATAAAGGCAGAATTTCCATTTTTGGGTGAATTATCCCTTTAAACTAGGCCTTTCTTAAGTAAACATAATCCTGGGTTATCTGGTTCCATGTTTCATACTATTCCACTATTCATAGTACTTTATCCTGGGTAAATTAAACAAATGTGTTTACAAAATGTGTATAAAAATAATGTGATCATATTATGTTATTGTGCATAATGCATGATTTTAAACATAGCAAAAGTTATATTTATTATATTATTTAACTGAATATAAAATATATATTGCCTATTTCCCACAACATAAGTGGAGAAAGCTCGAACTGGGCAATTCTCCCAGTGTTCACCCCCAAATCTCGCAACAAAGAGCGCCAAATGGAAACACTGGCCCCGCGCTGAGCCCTGAGGTTCTGTTCTTGTCCCCAATCCGCGGTCGCAAATGTAGATGTCAAAGCAAGAAACTGGAATTGCCAGTGCTAAATGGAATCCTAGCGCAGGGTAAAAATATCAGAGGGGGAGATCTGTTGCGGGGCAATGACATTTTAAAGGCATTGTGGTATGAGACTCTGAGCAGTGTGGAGGTCCACTGCAGACGAGGTTCTATTCAATCTTCCAGCCTTGGCTCAGCTGCTGACCCTTTTAGAGGAATCGATGGTGAGCAGCAGCGCATGCCGGGGCATGAAACGCATTGTGTAATGTGCATGGATACCAGGGCTGACAGTTATGGTATGAGCAGCACCGTCCTTGTCTTAGTGCATCTTGATACTATCCAGAAAAGCATGTGCAGCAATGTGTGTTTGCACTGCTGTGTGCTTTAAATCAATTTTAAGTCTAAATGTATTTGTTTATGAGCTTTTTGGACTTTGGGTAAAGAAAGGCAGGAAATAAAATGAAAGATTAAGGAATTGGTTATGTTGCAGGGCAGACTTGAACCTGTTTTTTCCATATGATCACCATAACTTCTAAATAGTGGAAACGTTTGGCCATTTTAGTCTTTTACTGATAGGTAAATAAAGACAGACAGGAAATAAAAATAAAGATTGGAGAATTGGATATGTTGTAGGCCATTTTTTTCCATATGAGCACAATAACTCCTAAATAGTAGATACCTTCAGGCATTTTGGCCTTTGACTGATCAGAAACAAAATAAAAAGTGGGAATCAGATATGCTGCAGGCCCGACTCAAACACGTTTTTCCTGTGAGTGCAACAACCCCCTAAATGGTGGAAGCTTTTGGGCTTTCTGGCTGATAAGTGAAGCTAGACAAGTAATGGTGATGTTAACAATTGGATAATTTGATATAATGCAGACTGGATTCAAACCCAGCTTCAAAACAAAGGAAACTTTTAGGGTTCACTTTATTTTAAGGTCCAATTCTCGCTATTATCAAACCATTAACTATGACTTCTGCCTCAGTGAAATCCTAATTTGCTGCTTATTAATAGTTAGTAAGGTAGTTGTTAAGTTTAGGTATTGGGTAGGATTAGGGATGTAGAATATGATCATGCAGAACATGTGCTTTATAAGTACTAATAAACAGCAAATATGTTAATAATAGGCATGCTAATAAGCAACTACTTAATAGTGAGAATTGGTCCCTATACAAAAGCATCCTGGCTCCTAAAAGATTAAAACTTTGGGTGGTTTGACCTAAAGTTAATAGAAAAATTAAGCAAGATAGAAAATGGCAATGTTATAAATTGGACAATTGGATATGACACAGACCTAATTCAAACCTGCTTCCCCACAAAAGCACCTCAGGGCTTTATTTGACAGGTAAGTGAAGCGAGACAGAAAATAGCAAGATGGAAGGTTGAAAAATCGCATGATGCCAACCAGATTCGAACCTTTGCCCTCATAATAGCACCACAGCTGCTAAATAATGGAGCCTTCATTCCTCAACTTTAGACAAATGGGAATGCTAATGTATACATAATTCACTCTCTCCAGATATTACACACCTCCTTGGCATTACACACTGCATTATAGAATTATATTGTGCGTTTGTTTATGTGCACTCTGTATCTGAAGCTAGATTCTATTGCACTATATTTCTTCTAGCTACCTATTAACCTGTGTAGCTCGCAAACCACTATGTATCCTGCAGGCTAAAGAAACACTGAAACAAACCATTTGATCTTACAATACATGGGGGTTTATAGTATGTCCCACAGGCCCGTTCAACACTACATTGTCACCATAATAAAGCCACTAAACTCTCAAAATCACCTTGTGCTGTTGCTCCCACTGGGCCGTTGGCTAACAGTAGTCAAAACAGACCAGGCATGGCGGTACTGTGAGGAGAAAGGAACTCATCATTCAAATGGGTTGTCCAATGTACAAATGCCTATTAAATAAGCACCATCACACACTTAATTAACCAGAGTGACTGAATGCAGATAAAATGGACAATTGCATCACCTTTAAGCGCACTAACTGCCATTTAATATGCTTTTGCACTTGAACCGTTAGATCCAAATGAGGCTTGAAGAGCGTCAAAGCAGCAGAATCTTGATTGTGACATTTATACAGCCATACTAGACTGATTATCAATGAACAAACTGTCAACAGTAATGACATTAAAGCACACTCATTAACT